ACCCGAATGAATCATCAATGTCCTCTCAAGACCAAGTACTAGTCTCCTTTCTCTCCCACCTAGCCCTATCCCTCGACGGCGCCGTTTTAGGTCTATCCCTAGCCTACGTCACCGTCCGCACCATCCGAAAATTCACCTTCACCTCCGCCGCTCTCCGTAAGATCACCCACGCTCCTTCCGTCTCCGTCTCCGACCTTCGCTCGCTCCTCGACGACACCGCCTCGGAGGATAACGGAAACAACTCCGGCGATGATAGAATCGTAATTGTCCGCGGTACTGTTGATGCCAAATCCGCTGTTGATGGGAGTTGGAAAGCCTTCTGGCCTGGTGTCTTGATTTCTCGTGAGTCTGGTGATAAAGGCGTTGTTCTTCAAAGAACTCAAACGGTAACTGTTTTTTGGTTTTGTTTGTTTGATTAGAATTGTTGGACTCTTTGTTGATTAAGAAATATCTCGAGATTCACGAGTTGGATTGCAATATGGTTTTTGATTGAACATTATGGTGTAGTTTGATCCATATAGTCAACCTCACTTAGTAGTATTAGGTTTGGTTGGAGGAAACACCCAAGTTTTCTGAAGCAAAACCTGAATTTTTTAGGTTTAATTACATTTATAAGATTTGTAGTTTAACAAAAAAAGTGATTTTGGTCCAAGCCATTTTAATTGTTTAAATCAAGTACTTATGCATTCCTTTTTAAATCAATGGGATTATTGCTTCATCTAATTGCTGACAGAAAGCCAGACATTGATATTGTTTTGTGAATGTCAACAAACAACCTAATATGACATGGCAAGTCAGAAAATAGAATTTCATGTCACCTAAGATTATTGCCATATCACAAAATATGTCGCAATAAGGTGTTGTTAAAGTGTGTACTTTTATTCCAATGGTTGGAACTTGGAAGTGATTGGACTGTTTTCTTTTTGCTTTCAGTTGACTGACATCATATATAAGACCGTTGTCATAAAATGCCATCCATGTCATCTTATATATAAAATTGGACGAAAGATTAATGATTGGACCAAATTTTATTGATTTCGAATGTAGGTACACTTAACCTACACTTCCACCTACTCCATTAAGGCTTTTATCTACAAACAGCTCACTCACTGTTTCATTTATTGGTTTGGCTTTTCACTGGACTTAATATAACAAACCTTTAAGGGTTGAGTTGTTTGTTTTTTAGCTGGACTATTGTAAAGTGGATAAGTTTATTTTGATGCTTTGGCCATAAGGTGTTGTTAATGTGTGTTCTCTTATTGTGTATGAACTATGATGGTTTGGAAGAAAATTGGTAGGTAATTAACATTTGAGAAATTTGAAAGATGCACTTTCAATAATATTTGGCTTTCCATTTGATTCCAACTTAAATTTCATGCAATTTTATTGTGGATTAGAAGACTAATTTTCATTTATTGTCATGAAGTGTATATACAGTGAATTGAAAGGCTTATTTGGATGGACTTCTGATCTCCGAGCCGTGTTTATGAAATCTCGGAGACAACGAGAATCCACATCCTTAAGAAAGGTAATGCATAATTTTGTTACTTGTGGCTCTTATTGTATCTAGAATTTCTAGCTCATACAACTTCAGGGGAAAGGATGATATAACATGCACCTTTGGATTAATCTAATGGACATGATTAAGGGAAAGGCATGGTACCTTTCCCGCCTTAAAGTCATGTAAGCCATACCCCAACTTCAGGATCCTGCTGATCGGGACATGCTAGAGCTGATGGAATAGCTACGAGGGAAAAAGATGAACTTAGCAGAATATATGAAAACATCTAATTATATTTTAGAATATCTTAGTTTATGTTGTAGGATTATTTTCTTATCTTTGTTAGAATATACGGAAATATCTTATAGAAGTACTAATGAGAGTCGATCTGATCCCATGGTTGTGGAAAAGAATGAAGGAGAGTGTCATTGATCTAAATTTCAATGGCTGGAGTGTAGTATTTGAGAGAAAAAGTTATGGAGAGATACCATCATTACAGTAGAGTTCTAGATTCTAGGAAACTCTATAATTGAATAATGTGGGAACAGGTCATTGATATGGCACTGTTTCGATATCATGTTAAATTAGAGATATTTGGGAAGATAATGAGGAAAAGAGAGATCAAACTCTGAAGAATCATATTCATATTCAATACTGATTTATGATGTGCTAAGAAGGTAAAAAATGTAAAATCCTGTTTATACTCACACTAGACTCTTAGTCTTTACTCTTTTGCCATAGTCAAATAAGGAAACAAATCATGTAATATAGGAACTACTCCTAAAGGCTCATCTAAGTCCCAAGATACTTTAAAGCTTCAGAAAATACAATAGTACTTATACAACAGTAATACAATAATGACATTATTAAATATTTTTAGATATTATAACTATATTTTTATTTTAGGTCCCTTTTGTTCTCATTGATGTTGGACGACAGTCAAATACCGAGTATGTTGTTGTCAACATGGATGGATCGACACATCCTTTACCTCTTACAACAGTTTATCACAAATTGCAACCCATAAATCCTCCTTATACTCTCTTGCAAGCGTTTTTTGGGGGTCAATATCCGGTAAGTTAATATTCACTATAAGTTTGATTTTGGAATTTTGCCTCTCTGACTCGGTTTCTTGTGAGATTGTTGATTTTGGGTATATGACATTTACTGAAATGTTAACATATATGATGTTTTCTTTCTGCAGGTTGGACTGCTCGATGAAGAGAAAATTCTTCCCTTGGGGAAGGATATCAGTGCTGTAGGCCTTTGTAGTTTAAGAAATGGAATTGCTGAAATCAAGTCTTGCGAAGATCTTCCATATTTTCTGTAAGTTACTTTTACTTGAAATAAACTGTTAAATTGTTGATTATTGGAGACCATGATCCATTTAGTATTTTACTTGAAACAAACTGTTAAAATGTTGATCATTGGATACCAGGTTCCATTTAGTATTTGCCATACGTTGGGTAATTAGAGTAGGGATTGTTTCATTTTAAGGTAACTTAATGCTGTTCCTTTTCTGTACTGATGCTGGTCCTGTAGGAAAATTATTATGGGAAATGTCAGTTTACTGGTAGACTATCATTGCGGTCCGCATATGGGTTGCCTACATTGCAGCTTCCAATACCTTCACTGTATTGAGTGTTTATAAAGCTTGGGCAGCCCTCGCCTTACAAACTGGTTTTGTAAGGTTGAGTTAGGCCCAACTCTAAATTCTAAGAACTATGATGCGTAGATACAACCCATATCTGATACGAAAATACACTGTTCTTTGAAAAATGGAACACGGTTCCCAAATAAAAATTCACTAGATATAAGAAATATACTGTTGCAGTTCCGTGATGAATTTATTTTAGTATTTATTTCAAAACAGTCTCCGATACTTCATGACACATCAATGGCATATCAGAGCGTATCAGGGTTATCAAGTATGATACAGGAGTCAAAATTAAGTATCTGTACATCATAGCTTGAAGAGTTACAACCATTTTGTTCTGTTGTCCTTTAATTATTAATTTTTATATTTACATTGCTTCTGGTGAAGTACAGTTTGTTTGTCAACTCTACAACAAACACTGAATTATTGATATTTTTTCCTCCCCGTTGCATGTTTTAGTGCATATATGATATGATATGATATGATATAACTCAAAAAAGTATCAGCAAATGATTCCTGTTTTATGTAGGTCTGACTTGAGTAAAAATCAGATGGTTGTAGATCTTTCCTTCAAAACAAGAGTACTGTTTTGGAGTGGCATTGTTCTTGGTTCAATGTCAGTTGGGATCATTGGCTATGCAGTTGTGAGGTATGTTGGTTTTCTTCAGCAGTTCCTTTAAACTTATTATATACGTGATGTTTTGAATTCCATTAGTCACAGTTGACTTTAGAATTTTCTGAGACATTGGGTTGGATAAGTTTTGGCACAATGAAACAATAGATGAATTGTTTAACTTGTTTGGCACACATTGATGGCCTTAATTTTGATTATAATAAAAAATGCACGAGTGGTTATTGTTTTTAGTTGTTAGAATTGATTTGCGGCCGAATTTTAATTTTCTCAGGAACTGGAATAGATGGAAACAATGGAAGCAAAGAAGGCAGCTCCAACAACAAAGGCAAACAGTCATTGAAGTTGATTCTCAGATAGATGACGGCGATATTGAAAATGTTCCAGATGGACAATTATGCGTTATATGTCTGATGAGGAGAAGGCGTTCTGTTTTTATTCCATGTGGGCATCTTGTATGTTGCCAAGGGTGTACTATATCAGTTGAAAGTGAAGTGGCACCCAAGTGTCCAGTTTGTCGTCAGGAGGTTCGGGATTCAGTGCGAATCTTCGAATCTTGAGTAGACAGAGGCTGTTTTTTCCTTTCACCGTCGCAGGAGGTTTCCATGTCTGTTGATGACGAGTGGTGCATTTTATTTGTATAGATCTATCATTTTAGTGAAAACCTGCCTTCCCCGAATTTAACATTAAGACTCGAACGTGTCTCTAGTTGATGTATTGAATATGGCTTTTGAATTGGGCAGTCTGAGTTTAAGTCATAATAGCCAGCTTCTCACTGTATCAGGTTTTTCAGGAAGAGTTTAAGCTCCGCCTCTAAAATGGGTAGCCTAATTTAGGGAGATTAGTCGCATATCTACTGTTTGTAGAAAAATCAATGTAAATGGAATTTTCGTTACTTGGTTCTGGTTGATACTTGGAAGTTCTTTAATTTTCTTTTTACATTTCCAGTTTTTCAGTTGCAGTGTTACATATTTCATTTCACAAGACACTAAAGACAGACCATGATTTTACTGTAATGCTTGAGCCGTACGTAACATTAAAAAACAGACATCAAGTTAAAAAAATTTGCAGCTCTTAATCAAACATACATTTTTATAGTTGAAAATTTAGGATAAGGAAGCACTACACTGGTGAAATAATTTCACCACAATGGCACATGTAGCTTCTATACAGAACTCCAACAACAAACTACATGGCCTAAAACCATGCTGTCAATGTTGTTTATCCAATTTCCACAGAGAACAGAAAGAAATAGGTTGCCCCTTCCACCATAGTCCCACACTTGTATTGTTCTCTTCTTCTAGTTTCATCTCCCAATTACTATCATACTTTCTCAACAAAGCTCGACCTCCGTCAATTGCATCTTCTCCGAACATTTCCTCTGCAAACCCTGCCTCTTTCATTCTTTCACACCATTTTTCTCTCCTTTCGTTCATCTCACGCTGGTTTGTCAATGCTTTTGAAGCTTCGCCTTCCATCATTCTCCTTTCATCACTCTCGCGACTTTTGAATGCTGAACTGGTTGAATCTAAAAACTTCCATAAGTAGTCCACTCTTCGAGAGAATCTAGTAGCAAAATCGCCACAGCTACTACAGCAACACTCCATGTTGTTCTCACTTAATATCACCCCTTTAGGCTCCATGTCTCTCAATACCTTCAGAAACTCACTTCTTTCATCAGGATTGTTATGATTCAAGTGGTGCAACCTGAATTGAGCGCAGACGATTAAGGTTTCGTCGGGGGTGGTGTCAACACTTTTCGCATTTAATGTCTGCAATGGAATGTTATCAAGCTTGTTTATCTGCAGGTTGACATTTATGGACTGAGCATAACCTAGAAGTCTTGAAGAGAAGTTGTCACCACATGGACCTATTGAAAATGGTGTCTCCATGTTTTGGTCATTTTCAGTCGATGAAGCAGTAACCACGGTGAGGCGAACCAGAGGAGGTCCACCGGGTCGACGACTCAAGGCCTCTAGAAAAGTTGGCCATTGCACACCATGAGAGACTCCAATGTCAAGGATGTGAAGGGTGCGCGAATCATTCGGCTCTTCAGCTAGAACTTGAAGGATGGAAGCATTTGCTATGTTATTAGGAAAGGAAAACCAAGGACTAACCTCATAGAACTTCAATAATGACTTTTGGAAGAATCGCGGTTCTGTAGATGCAAAAGTTATAGTCCCTGGGGAGGTAGACGACGAAGACGAAGACAGATGGTGTGTCAACGCTCGGAGACCATGCGCTGCAAGCCGATGGTTGGCATCACCGGTAGTTGAGGCTAGCTCATGGAGAACATATAAAAGGTGTTGCACGCGATTCAGGTTTCCCCCGGTTATCGCTGCAGCACAAGGGTTCAACAACTGCTCAGCCCATCTACCATCCTTATTGTTTCCATTGTTGCAGTTACTTCCATTAGCCTTACCAGCACCTTTCTTATTCCCAACAGATTTTCTAACCACTGTCCCTTCAAGACCTGCATCTCCATTATCACCTTCATTCATCACACGCCTCTTGACTCTCTTGTTCTTCTGGTTTTGTGATTGTTTCTCGAGCCTCGACTCATCATCAACATTTCGTTTCTTCGGTAAATCAGAAAATGGTACGTTGTTCGAACTAATCGGCTCAAGGGATGTCACGCTCGTGGTAGTACTAGCAGCAACAATGTTGGTCGCACTGTTTGTGGCATTAGGAGAATCAATAATCACATCAGTTTGATACTGGCTCCTTATATCTTGATTCTGATCCCATAACGGATACTCTTGGATGTAACCGCTGTTATAGGGATCATCCAAGAATGACGGAAAGAACGAAACCGAACCTTCAAGCCAGTCAAGAATGTGATCCGATGTCGGGTTAGGTTCCATAATCATCGCGGTGAAAACAAAAAAGAAAGAAACTTTTGAGATATCAAAGAAGAAAGATTGAAGGGTTTGAAAGGGTTAGAAGTATTGAATCATTGACCAAAAACAAGAGATCATAGAAGATAAAACCAAAGACTTTTAAGTTTTGAAGTTCAGTAGTTACTCACATGTACTTATAAAATAATAGGCGTTACATTACATTACCATACCAAGTAGTGACAAATAAGGGAATTTTCTAATTGTTTGTGTGCTGTTGGTTTGGAAGATGTGATGTTTTATTGAGGTTTTTTAATGGTTTAACATAGGCAACTAGGAGACGAGGTTGTCTTTTCTTTATGTTGGGTGGTTAACTTGTTGTTTTTGTATTATATTGAAGATTGGAATATACTATTTAAGATTTGGTTTGAGTGTTGAAGAATGTGATAGGTTGTTTTGAAATTTTAGCCGGCAAAAATTATTTGACTAATTTGATGATTGTTGAAAAGTTTATGTCTGGCTGGGTTTGTGGAACTTTTTGTAGTGTGTTTTGTTGTTAATAGGTGTTAAATTGTTATTATATGTTGTCAAAACAAAAAATGATGGTAACATATTATTTGACACTAATATCTTATTGATCGAAGTTTGCATGTTCTTGCTAAAATGTTTTGGACTTTCTCAATTTAGTGAGATTGATTTTAATCTCAATTAACTAGAGATAATGATGTGTTGAAAATATGTACTAGCCCTAACTTAGAGCATAAATATCACACTGCTTTTAATGTAAACGTTGTCTAGTTTGTGACCGTTTTTTATGTGCCAGTTAAATTGTTAATTGAAAGAAAAATGACCATAGCTATGTTATAAATTATAAATTGTCAACATATGAACAATTCCAATGGTAATATTTTGAAAATATCAATTGCAAGAAAATTTCCAAGGGTAATATCTTTGCTACTTGTAAAAAAAAGGTAACCGTAATATTTTTACTTGTAAAAAAAATTAACGGTAACATTTATATCTAGTCTAATTTTGAATTATTGATTTTATTTTATTTTAATTTTTTTCTTCTACACATTTATTTGTCAATGCATCCAATCAACATAGTTCTTGGTCTAATTTTATACAAAATAATGGTAGTTCCCCTTCTATTCCAAATCAACCAAGTAACCCATACTTTAGAAATGTAACTTTTATCTCAAATGTGTACCATAAATCAAAATTTCAAAACTCCCCGTTTATTCCAAATCCACAAAATAATCCACATTTTGGAAATTACTCATATTATACACCATCTTATCTATCAATATTAATTGTTTGTATCTCAATCAAGTAACCTCACTATGTCTCATGTGACTCAAATAAGTAGTAGTGGTGTGCAATCAAATGATCAAGAACGTGAAACACCACAATTTTGCACCCAAGATAGCTTAGAAATTATTAATCTTGGTGAAGAAGTTGCATCCGCACCAGTTGCGAATACGCATAAACAAAGGTTCCAATAAAAAGATGATGAAGTTATCATTCAATCATGGCTCAACCTTTCAAAAGATTCAATTGTTGGAGATAGTTTTTAGAAGAGGATCGGTGAAGCTTACAACAAGCATTGTGACATCAATTACAAAGAGAGTAAACCAACGCAACTAAAAGATCAATAGCACAAAAATAATCCATCTGTTCAAAAGTTTGTTGGATGCTACAAACAAGCCATGTTTACACAACAAAGTAGAAGTTCTGAGAGCAATATCATGCAAGCAGCATATAAAATCTATTTCCAAGATGAAGGTGAAAAGTTTACATTTGAGGCTGCATGGAGATTATTGAAAGATGAGCCTAAATGGCTCGCAGGTTCATCATAAGCTTCTACAAAAAGAACAAAAAATTCAGCTTCAGGAGCATATTCTTCATCTTCTAATCTACTAATGAGCAGTGAATACGATCCATCATCACTGTTAAATTGTAATCCAGTGTGTCGAAACTATGTGTCGAAAAGATTTGATTTGTTTTAGATTTAAATAGATTTGATTTAAGTCTAGAATAAATTAGATTTGATTTAGTAACAAAAAGATATTTTGGGCTTTGGGCTTAGGGTGTAAGCTCAGTTATAAATAGAGGGAGTAACCCCTATTTTTGTAAGCAAGTCAAGCAAGTTGTATTCACAGAATTTGCAGTTGTAAGTGAATAACAAAGTTTTCACAGTTTGTGAGCAGAGAGAAACTCTGCAGAAATTATTTGTCTTGTCTTCTTTTCTTTGTTTGTCTCATAACTAATCATCATTGTGGTAGAAAATTCATCATAGACTTTGGTGGATTTCCAACATCTGGTATCAAGAGCTTTGTTTTGATTCGAGGGAAGTGTCAATCAAGAACGATTGAAGAATTCACGATGACAAGTTATGAGAATGCAAACTATCCAGCAACGCTACCAATTCTGAAAGTTGACAACTATGAGAATTGGTGCAAACAGATGAAAGTCTTATTCAGGTGTTAAGGTCTTTGGGACCTTGTAAAAGATGGAGTCGAAGCGCTTGAAGAAAACGCTTCAGAAGAAGAAAAGAAGAAATACATAGAATCTGAGAAGCTGAGTTATAAAGCATTATTTATAATTCATCAATGTGTCAGCCCAGACAATTTCGAAAAGGTTAGTGATTCAAAATCTGCAAAAGAAGCTTGGGAAATCCTTGAGAAGTCTTTTGGAGGCGCTGGGAAAGTGAAAGAAGTGAGGTTACAAACTCACAAAAGGACCTATGAACTGCTTCAGATGGAAGACAGTGAAAGCATATCTGATTTCTTCACTAGAGTTACAAAACTAGTAAATCAAATCAAGATATGTGGAGAAACGTTAACAACAGGAGCTGTTGTGTCGAAGATCTTGAGATCTTTAGCTCCTAAGTTATACCACATAGTGGTGGCGATAGAAGAGGGGAAAGACTTGTCGAAATTGACAAAGGAAGAGTTTCAAGAGACGCTTGAATCTCATGAACAAAGAATGAGCGAAAGAGCTGCAGGAAAATCGAAGAGTGATGTGGCCTTGCAGGCACATTCAGCAAAAGAGACCAAAGGCAAAGGAAAGTGTTTCGACAGAGATAGAGGTGGCTACAACAAATTGAATGGTAGAGGAAACCAGATTGAAGGAAACATGTCGAATCAAAGAAGACCATACCAAGGCAACCAAAGAGGTGGTGTTGCAAATAGAGGAAGAGGTGGTGGTCGAAAACCTGATAAGAGTCACATTCAATGTTACAATTGTCATAAGTATGGTCACTATTCCAGTAATTGTCCAGAAAAACGAAAGAATCAAGAAAGTGATGCAAAGCTTGCAAAACATGAAGAAGAAGAAGAGATGATGTTGATGGTCACAACAAGAGATGAAGATAAATTCAAGGACCAATGGTACTTGGATTCAGGATGTTCATCACATATGTCTGGAAGGAAAGACTGGTTCGTCAATATAAAACCCTCAATAAAAAATATGGTAAAATTTGCAAATGACAATACCCTAGTAGCTGAAGGTATTGGTGATGTTATGATTATGAGGAAAGATGGCAAAAGGTCTGTAATCTCCAATGTATTGTATATACCAGGTGTTGTACCCCAAAATTTTCCCTCCCATTTTTCATTGATTTCTCATCACAAAGTCCTTGGAGATCAAGATCCAGTTAGGGTTTCATCTGCTCAAGACTTCTCCTTGCACTGTTGACCCAAATTAGGGTTTGAGTTTGCACAAAGATGTTTTGACCTAAAATGCCTAAGATGACTTTCTTGCTTCATATTGGACTCCCAAGTTTATCCATATCAAGTTTCAAGTCTTGATTCTAAGTTTTGCCCAGTCAATTGGACAGTTGATCTAGAAATCAGCTGTATTGGGGAAAAAGTCAACTGTGGCCAATTGACAGTCAAATCTCATGAAAATTGAACCACATCAACATTATGAATTTATATGAACCATTTGGTCAGGTTTGGATCATAATTCCACAAGAAATTTGATCAGATCATCAAAAGGGCAAAATGGTCATTTTTAGGGTTTTGACTGCACAAAGGCAATTTTTGACTGTTTGACCTAGCCAATGGCAAAACAAGCTCACATATGGACTCAAGGACCACATGGAATTATCTTGACATGCTCAACAAACTCAAAAGATCCCAAATGCACAAAATTGACAGTTGAATTTCCCGGTCAATTGATCAATTTTGACTGTATACTGAAAAGTCAAACTTTGACTTTTTGGTCAAAATCAAGGGTCAAGATTCATTTTTCATCAAAACATGCCAAATCATGAAACTTGTTCACCAAGAAATCAAAAAATGCAAATTAGGGTTAGAAATGAGAATTTTTCATAACTTAGAATTTTTCTAAGTTATGAAAAACCCTAATTTTTACCCAACTTTTCCCCACTTTATCACCAAGATTAATTTGGATTCAAACAAAAGTCAAAACATGAAAGTTGTAGCTTGTTGCATAATCTACAACTTTGATTCACAAAGTTTTCCCAAATGAGGCTTGTATCTCAAGTTACAATTTTTTGAATAAGGGTACTAAACCATTCTTAACTTAGTGAAATTTCAACCTATTTTGGCAAGGTTTTCTACCTAACTTCAAGGCCATTTTCCATACACTTCCACTTGGAATTTCAATTTGCATTTCAAATATGGATTGTAGTACACATTCCAATCTTTCCAAAATGTCCAAGAACTCATCAAACAACCTCATAACTTGAGAGATTCGAATTTTGCAATATGGCAAAAACTCACTTTTGAATTGGTCATGTACATGTTCATAACTTATGCCATTTTCAAGTCAGCTTGGTTTGTGCTACATTACAGGCCCTTAAACCATCCAAAACTCAATAATTTAATGCATGTTCATTGTGCTAAGGCTTTGTTTCATGAGTTTATGCATTACATTTTGAATTAAGCCATTTATGGAAAAAGCAAAATGGCCATTTTTGCAAAAGCAAGCTTTATGTCATAATGCAAATCCAAGAGGCACAGATCAAATCCAATTGGCACAAGATTATGAGTAAAACACTCTGA